AATTCAAATAAAGCAATAGAAATATCAAAGCAACAACAAAGAACAAGCAGGATTTAAGGAGTTAGAGAGTCGGGAATATCCATTTTGGTTCGAATTGCAATTAATAGCCACGTGATTGTTCAATTAAGTGATTTGAATAACTTGCTCGTTCAAGCACTCATCCTCAGTAACTCTTCGTAACAAGAGAACAAACTTGAACGACAAATTAACATGTCAGTTAACACCTGTGCAATACAGTTACGAACAAGCCTAGCTTATACAAGCCTATTTCGACTGACTTCTCCCCTTTCGATTCTAAGAGTCGATTAATATAGACTAGAGGGTGGTCAACCGACTAATCAAATAGAATTACCAACATCATACAAATTCAATTGCAATAATTGGAATTGAAGTGTCACCTTTCAACATTTCTCAATATTCAAGCTAAGTAATTGAAAAACCTAATAAAAGATTAACTCGCATAAGAAGAACAATCAACGAGCACCACAATCGCAATTGAGATCAAAACATTAATCCTCTATTCCCTAGCAATTGGATTTAGCCACTCATAATCGAATCAACACAAGCATTCATCTCAACACAAGGATTCATAATTAACGATTAAATTAAAAGAGAATCTTACGATTGATATAATCCAAAATTTGAATTCGATAAACAAGCTTGAATTCAAAAACAATACTGAAATCCAAGTTCAAATCCATGCTCTACGTCGAAAACAATGAAGAAAAGATGAAAAACGAGTTTTTGGAGAGAAAGTGAGGCTAGGTTTATGTTCTGGGCGTAAAAGATGATATGCGATGAATTTCTCATATATATAGTGGCATGTGTGTCACGGCATGGGGAAACAGCGTGGGCGCGGAAGGAAGGGGCGCTGCGGCGCAGAGAATATCGGCCTGGGCGTGTGTGGAAGGGGGCGTCGCAGAGGATGGCGCTGCGTGGCAGACAGAAGCTTCGCGGATCGGAGCAGTCTCGTGGGCGCGGCAGGTGCGTCCTTCACGGCTCGGCACCTGGCGAGGCGTGGAGCTATGGAACGTGTCGCGGCGTGGAGGTCGCGCGGCGCGGCAGGGCCTGAAGCTGGGAGTCTTTGTCGAGGTCACGACGTGCATCGGCGGCGCGGCACGCGCAAGGCCTGGGTGATGCGGAAGTGGGTTTCGAGCCCCGACGACGAGAAAGTCCAAGAACCTAGACGACACGAGGAGGCTGAAAATAGGGCCAAAAAGACGCACGCATGGCCTAGGAGACGAGTACGAGCTCGTATACGAGGCGAACAAGCACATAAGAAGTGGCACGAGTACACGCAAGCGTGAGGTAGTCGATGGATGTCTCGTGTAAAGGAGCGGGTACGCGCGAGAGGAGCTCGTGCGTTTACTAGGACGCCGCGCGAGCAAGCGCGAGGGGGAGTGCATGGACGTGATGCACGAGCGCATGGTGTGAACCGTATGGGCAAAGGGTCGACTACACGAGGGTTGAGCATGAGAGGGTCAAAGCTCGTAGGTCAAGGGATAGTGCGCGACCAAGCACGCGAAAGAGTACGCGGGTTGGACGCGCGATCACACGAGCTGGCCAATGAAGGTCACGCATGGAAGTGCACAAGGACACGCGAGAAGATGGTCTCAAGTCTAGCAACGCTCACACGCCATGAGGGGTGCATTAAGCAAGGGTGCGCACACGCGCATTGGCGTAGACGCGCATGGCGTCTAGAGGCTAGGTAAAGTGGCGCGCAGGGGGAGGTTGTAGGGTGGATGGCGCGCGAGGGAGGTTGCTATGGTTGGACGGACGCGCTGGGCGACACGCGCAGGACCCTGAGCGAGTGCGGGGGAGATGCCAGGGGAGCAAGCCTAATCCTCATAGGAATAGGCAAGACACGAATACTAGACCCCGTAGGACTAGGAAAAGCAGCTGAGTGTTGGTACGCGCGTGGAAGATCGGCGACGAGAGTAATCCTCGAAGAAAAAGGAAACACGGCCGAGAGTGGATTCCTAGTAGGGATAGGCAAAGTCGAGGCGCGCTCAAACAGACTCCTTGGAGGATAAGGGCTAGGCGGTTGGCGCGCAGCGCAAGCAATGGCGCGCGCATTGGAAGCAGGCGGGCGAGTCCTAGACCGAGAAGGACTGGGCGACGCATGGGCGGCAGGCGCGCGATGCCTCGCGCATGGAGGAATA